TGATATAGGTGTTCCTAAGGAATACCCACATGTGTTCCAGCCAGGAGTATTCTGAGCCTGTGTGGTGGTGGGGTTAAGATGTCTCACCGAGGCCACAGAGATCCTGGTTTGAATCCCCACTCACGTTTTGTTTGACCTAAAGCCAGGGCCTATCTCTGGGCTGTTGTGAGGGTAACATGTGGAATGAGGGGCTAACCCTAATCTTTGTGAAAGAAGAGTGGGAAATAGGAAAAAAATATCACTAAGCTTTGTTGCCTGAAACCTGCTTTTACAAGTTGTTGAAGAAATAGGGTGGCTTGCAAGGATAGGACAGAAAGACTCCAGCGCCTGAGATCTGTTGTAACAGAGCTCTGCTTCCCATCTCAAGGCTGGTGTGCAGTGATGGTCCTTATAAATGCTGTACCATTGCTTTCACCCAAACCATGATCCTCCTAAGGGTCTTTCTAGTTGACTACATTGCACAAAAGAAGAATGGAAAAGACAACCGGGAGGGATGAAATGAATCAAGTCAAACTCCTCTGCTGCAGTCATATGCTTGAATTCAGAGGCTTGGTGGGATGATCTTGTCACAAAGGATGCAGGGGAAATCAATATTTCCTACTGACGGAGAAATTTATTCTCTTTGTTGTAACTATCGGATGAATGTGAAAAGCCATTTTACAAAGCAGTGTCCCTTTATTTTTTAAAATATTTTCTGGAGTAAAACTGTATGGTGCTTTCTGGTGCTTTCTTGTTTAAGTTGATTCCCATTGTTCTGTGAAATGGATTGCCATTGCGTTTTTTTAGGCTTTATTTATGCCAATTAATCAGACTGTAGTTGTCTATTATCTATCATATTGTCTTTGATTGATATTTCATATAACAACTCCAGACCTTTATTGAGGGATAATCACTCACTGACTACTCCAGGTGGCAGGACACTCAATAACTGCGCAAAAGGTTTTTGTTTATACATGACTTTCATCTCTTCCTATGCATCTAACAAGTCCAGTCTCTGAGTGCATGACACATAATCTTTATTTGATATTTTAATTTGCACTTGCAGCTGTGAAGTGGCACTCTCTTAGTAATGAGATTTAGTTTTCTTTAGGGGAGCATTGCATATGTTAGCATGGTGACAGACTAGCAGGACCCCCTAGCGGTCCAGGGTGATGGATGCGTGGGGAGGCCCTGCCCTTGTAAGTGATTCTGATGACTGGTTGCCAGGGTGACTAAGGCATGCACCATGGAGCACACTGACATCACCTGAGTGCTCTACTCCTTGCTGCAGAAAAATATGAATATGAGCCAAGTTCCTTCCCTGCAAAGATTGCAGAAAGCTGTGGGAGTAACTGGTTGCATAAAATGATAGCTGGCTTGGGAAGGGGAAAGCTCAGTGAGACTGAGTCAAATCCAGGAGACAGCTGACAGCCCTGCCCTTTAGACCAGTTCAAAATATTCACAGTATGTGCACAGCATTTGGATAATTCTATTTCACAAAATCAGGACGCGGGTGGCGCTGTGGTCTAAACCACTGAGCCTTGGGCTTGCCGCTCAAAAGGTCGGCGGTTCGAATCCCCGCGATGGGGTCTGCTCTCATTGCTCGGTCGCTGCTCCTGCCAACCTAGCAGTTCGAAAGCACGTCAAAGTGCAAGTAGATAGATAGGTACCACTCCGGCGGGAAGGTAAACGGCATTTCCGTGCGCTGCTCTGGTTTCACCAGAAGCGGCTTAGTCATGCTGGCCACATTACCCGGAAAAGCTGTCTGCAGACAAACGCCGGCTCCCTCAGCCAGTAAAGTGAGACGAGTGCCACAACCCCAGAGTCGTTCGCGACTGGACTTAACTGTCAGGGGTCCCTTTACCCTTTATTTCACAAAATGCTGCAGCATGGAGTGCTTCTGTTCACAGCTCCAGCCACTCTGTTGCTTTCCCCCCACTTCCCATTTTCCCCACCCTCATCTACAACAGTCAGTCACAATTTCATGGCCACTGAACATGCTGAGTTCTCATTGGTGTTGTGATTCCCCCTTTAATGTTTTTTTTTTTGGGAGGGCTTCTGAAATTTTGGGCTCTCCTGAGCCAGGATGGACAAACCTGTCAATTTCAATTTCTCCCAGTTTCTCCTTTTTCCAATCTTGAGTTCAGTTCTCCACATTTCAACATCAGCTTCTGATTTTTGTAAAGACGTTCTTATGAAAATCCAGCAGCATTTTAGTGCAAATTTCTCCCGATAGACACACTTTTGTATGCAAGTTTGCCCAATATACACATTTTGGCCAAGCAATTTCCCTTACCTTTTTTTTTTTTTGGCATGCTGTTTATATATGCATTTTAATGCAAACCATACCCTAATATGTGCATTTCTGTACACATGATGTGGCTAGAGAAATGCCTTGCAAAATTCAGAGAAGTGTGAATTTTGAAAGATGACTGTATTTTGGTTTGTGTATTGTTTTGGAAAATGTGAATTATGTAGGCTCGCCTTTAAATGCAAACTGAAACAAATCCCCCCATCCCTTCTCCCATCTCTCTCTCTCTCTCTCTCTCTCTCTCTCTCTGTGTGTGTGTATGTGGTTCTATCTTGGAGCCATAAGTAGTGGCACTCAGCCTGAACACTGGAAAAATTAGGGATCGTGATGACACCTTCTGTAGAGAATAGAGTTTGGATTTGTCCAGTAGTCTGTCTCTTTTATGCAACCTCTTTGACAGTTTGTGCCAAAGGATAAAAAGTAATAAAAATATATTAAAAACACACAAAAAATAAGGAATTGCTTGAAAAATAACAATTAAAAAGGCCTGAAAAGAAAATAAACTATTGATTAGTTTCAGAAATAGCCCTCTGGCTAAATAAAATGTTATGTAGTGGCAGACTAGCAACACTCATCTTACAGCCTTATTGTTCTCCTTGGGATTTGTGTGATTTCAAAATTAGTCCTGGACTATCTTAATGTATTTCACTGGGTTTAGGACACAAATTGTAAAGTACCAGTCAGTTTTTAAATGAACTCTTTAAAAGCTTTTCTAAGAAGAAAGCTACAATATTCTACTCAAAGGTCCTGTTTCCTTCAAAGAATCCAACTTTTAAAAAGTCATGAGAGCAGATTAGATGTCAGTAAGCAAAAATGTGACCAGCTCATGATTTTGCATCCCTGAGTCATCTTGCATGAGGAATGTTTGGAGAGAAATAAATAGAAAAACCACCAGAATGCCTATATTACACAAATCCAATTGAAAAAACACATAAATGTAATAGGCCGTATAGTAACAATTGCAAAGTTATTTACAGTGGTACCTCAGGTTAAGTACTTAATTTGTTCTGGAGGTCCGTTCTTAACCTGAGACTGTACTTAACCTGAAGCACCACTTTAGCTAATGGGGCCTCCTGCTGCCGCCGTGCTGCTGAAGGACGATTTCTGTTCTCATCTTGAAGCAAAGTTCTTAACTTGAAGCACTATTTCTGGGTTAGCGGAGTCTGTAACCTGAAGCATATGTAACCTGAAGCGTATGTAACCCAAGGTACCGCTGTACTAGAAACTACTTTTCAAAAATTAGACACAGCTTCTCATAATGTCAAAATCAACTTCATGACATAATATATTAAAAAGTAGCTTTTCAGTTGATCACCAAGTGCAGTATGTACAACTGGATTTGCATAATATAGGCATTCTGGTGGTTTTGAGAAATAAATAGCAGCAGCAACTAGAATTCCTACTGTAAGATGCATTTAATTTTAATGAAAATCAAAGTCTTTTGGGACATGTGCAACATGGTGTGGTCCTTGAGGATCTTCAGATCATGACTGTATCTTCTTTTCAATAAGTTCAAGCCTTGTTCCTTATCAAGTAAATAATACAATTTGCTACTTCCCAATTAGTCCATTCACTTCTTTTCATAAGACCTCTGAGACTTTATCATAGTATCATAAACCTAGAAAGAACTTTGAGATGAATTTAGTCCAACTAGCTTAAATAGGGTTCGAACAGATATTCCCAGAGGTCTCCAATATGTTTGACCTTACCATCCATTGCTTTTGTTAATACTTATTGATCTTGGTTATGCAACAAATTATGATGAGGGCAAAAACCAGCAGGGAAGAGAGAGGTCATTATCACCTGGAAATCATCAATTTTTAAAGATCTCCATGCATTGATCATATTTTCAACTTTCTACCTTGTTGCAAAGACAATTGACCTAATAGGGGAACTATTGACTTGACACACAGTTATACTGGGAAGCCAACAAAAAGTAGTTAGAGTTTCAGTGGCTTTTTTGCTTGTAAGTCAGAGTAATGACAAGCAAGCGAACTAACTCAAAGGGCATGCCCTTTCACGTACACAGAGAATTTACACACCTGAACTTTTCAGCACAAAAATTATCAGCCTCCTTGCAATTATTTTTGCATTATTTAAAAGATACACTTAAAGCTGTGTATAGTTTTCACCTCAGTCTTTGGCAGAATTGTGGGTCTGAAGTGAAATCTCAATACAACAAATCATAATCATCATCATTATCATAAAGGTTTCATTGAAAAATATTTCTTAGCGTCTCTTTATCAAAAGATTTCAAGGTGGTGTACAAAAGGGTGAACAAAAGTATTCACATATCAAATAAATATTGCATTAAAGACACAACACATAAACAGGAGAAGGGGCAGACTAAAAATACAAAATTTAAGGAGCAGTTCCAACTGAAATGTCGCCCAGCCAAAATGCTCCAGCTGATAGGAAGATCTTAATAATGTGCTATTGGTGCCAAATGTGTCATTGCCAAAAAAATTGTAAAATGGGTGTGCTATTCCAAAGGCTTTCTCCTTTGAAATATATTATGTGCCCTTGGTAAAGGATATCTCAGGACATGGCTAGAGTGGTAGGGTACAAAACTGCCGTGGACCTTAAAGGTGAGTATTACCAGCACTTTAAATGGGTCTCAAAAGCTAATAGGCAGCCCATGTAATTCTTTCAAAGAAAGCCTGTCTTGCACCAGTCAAAATTCTGGCGGCAGAATTCTGCACTAACTGAAGCTTCTGGGATAGCTCAGTTAGTAGAGCATGAGACTCTTAATCTCATGGTCATGGGTTCGAACGTCACGTTGGGCAAAAGATTCATGTATTGCAGGGGGTTGACCTAGATGACCCTCATGGCCCCTTCCAGCTCTACAAGTCTATGATTCTATGATATTTCAATTTTGGCCCCATGCACAACACATTACTGTATCCTAGGCAGGAAGTTACCAGACCATTAAATTGCTATGCTGAAAAATAGTTTCAGTCCTTGCAAAATGGGATTTGAATGTTATCATGCCCAAGATGGAGGGTGCCCCTGAGTAAAACGTGAAGTGCAACAACATTCTGAGAGTTAAAACTTTAAAATACTCTTTCCTGCTTTATTCTATCTCCAATAAGTATGTTAGTGAATGGAACCCAATGCTCACACAAAGGGATTTCAGCCTCCTGTCCTTCTCCATGCAGCCCTTCTGTGGTTGAGCCTGCGTTTAGTGCACACTGGAAGCTGCCTAACACCATAATTTCAGCTGCATTTGCACAACAGAACATCTGCAATTGTTCATACTGCAGATGCACTCACTAATAGCATAGTTTCCCCCCCTTTCTTTATATTTCCCCATCTTTAAATTCATCTCTGCATTGCACATGATGAATGTCTGTGCCAAAGAAGCAATTTCCCATTGTGTAAATAACCAGTGCAGTAGATGGAAGTAATCCTGAAGGCATCTGTTGCAATTCCCCTAGATTCTATAATTTAAAAAGCTAGATACATGTTGTCAGGGGTTCAGGAGCAGAGGCACAGGAAAGGGAGGAAATAGAGAGCGAGGGGGAGGAGTCCGAAGGAAATGTTAGCGATGACAGCGGTCCGAGGTCTCTGAGTCTTTCCAGCGAATCGGAAGAT